AGCAGGGGGCTGTGGGTCAGGATTGAGGGGCACTGGCAGAGCTGGGGGGGCCCAGGGCTGGGCTAGCAGGGGGCTGCAGGCAGGGATTGAGGGGCACTGGCCAAGCCAGTGTCAGACTGCATCTCCAGCTGGCAGCCCGGGATGGTGCCACGTACTCTGGATGGGTTCCTGTTCTGGCTGATGCTGCCCTGACGCCCCTGCTCCGAGGGGTGGGCCGGGCTCCGTGTGCTGTGCCAGCTCCGTGGGGCGTTGTGCTGAGCTCTGCCCTCTCTGCCCGCCCCGCAGTCGGAGATGCTGCTCCAGCACCAGTCCAATCCGTGCATCATGGACAATTGCGGGAAGACGCCCCTGGACTTGGCGTGTGAGTTTGGCCGGGTCGGGGTAAGTCCATACAGATGCCTGAGCCACGTTTCGACGACGCAGTCAGCAGCACCAGTGGAACCTGCTGCAGGCCCCAGCTGGCCTGGCAACCCTCTCCCTGGGCACGGCTGGGGCTACGTAGGCGTGGGGAGCTTCGCCCTGCCCCTGCCCGGGATCCCACTCCACCCCCGGGATCCTGCTCTCACTTCCAGCGGGGGAAATCTGGATTCACTCCCCGGCTGTCCTGGTCACACTGGGGAGACGGAGGGCAGGAGCCGCTCTCCCTCCTGCTCCACATCGGCTGAGACTGGGAAAATACTCCCTTGCATTCCTGCAGCCGGCATGTAGCGCCCGGGGCGGGGGGCACAGGGCACCGGGGGCTGGGACGCCCCGAGAGCCCAGCCTGCCATTCAGAGCGCAGAGCGGGGGGAGGTGAGTTGCTCCCGAAGGCAGGGCGGAGCTCAGTGCATCCCAGACCAGCGCCCGGGAGCAGCAGGGCAGGCTGCGGGTCTGCTCCCCTGGCAGGGGCAGCGTTCGGTTGGGGGCGCTGGGCCAGGCCGCCTGGCAAACAGCCCCGGGGGCTCAGACGAAACGGGGGGTAGTTTGATGCTTTACAAACCTTCCTGCCCGCACTCTCCTGGCCAGTGCAGACGTTCTCCGGCTCGCTGAAAAACGCCAACCTGTCTGTGGTCAGCAGCCCAGGCCCTGGACCACAGCTTAACGGCTGCCCTGTCCTGCGGTCCAGAGCCTGCCCTGCCCAGGGGGTGCGTGGATGGGTCTGGTGCCGGGGTGGGTGGCCCAGCCCGTGCTCTCTGCACCGTGTAGCTGGGCCGTGTCCCGCCCCCGGGCTGGGATCTGCGTCTCCAGGGGAGCCGAGCTGTCTCTCCAGCCCTGTCCCTTCCATCTCTGGTGCCCCAGGTGGTCCAGCTGCTTCTGAGTAGCAACATGTGCACAGCCCTGCTGGAGCCCAAGCCGGGAGACACCACCGACCCCAACGGCACCAGCCCCCTGCACCTGGCAGCCAAGAACGGGCACATCGACATCATCAGGTGAGCGCCAGCCCCGCCCGGGGGAGGGCCCCGGCTGACGCAGTGGGGGGCGATGGGGGGAGGGGTTCCTGGAGAGAGACGCCCCGTTGGCAGATGGCGACTCCAGTCTCCGGCCCCAGCTAGTCCCTGGTCTGACGGGGCTGGCGGCGTTTGGTTGTGGTGCTCTGGGCTCCCTGTCCTGGTGTGCGCTGCCCCCTCCTGTCCCCTTGGCACCCCTCCTCTGGCAGATTTCAGGCGCCGGGCGTGTGCGCAGGCGAATGGGGTACGAGCTGCCCACCCCGGCAGGCAGCGGCAGGCGAGAGCGCTGTGGGGCTGCGTGCATGGACGATGCTCACTTTGCCTTGGCCGCAGTGGCCGGAGACAAGGTCTTGACTGTGGGGCCCCCCCAAGCTGGGCTCTTATGGGCAGCCGTGCCCCCAAGGCCAGGCCCCTCCTAGTGCCAGGGGCTGGGTCACTGCGTATCCTCCCCCGCTGAGCTCAGTGCTCTGGTCACTGCTGGGGCACAGCCTGCCCCGGGGGTCACAGCACAGGGGGGCTGTCATGAGCATGCCTCTGAACCCGGGGCTGCAGCGCCCTGGCTGGTTGGCGGGAGGGCGCTGCCTGTCTGGATCCTAGTCCTCGGATCCTGGCTGCCAGGCGGGTTCTGCAGCCCCCTGGCAAGAAGGATTGGGGAGGCTGCAGCTGGCTGCGAGGTGGGGCCGGCTGTGCTGTACCACAAGGGCCCAGTGGCGGTGGAGCAGCAGGGAGGGTCGTGAGCGACCCTATGGCAGTTTCTGCATACGAGGGGTTAGCCCCAGGCCTTGCCCAGACCCAGCTGGTTCAGAGTCCAAAGCCCCAAAACACACGATCCCGGCTTCGGGGCTCGTGGATTGAGCTCGCCGGCGACTCACCGCGAAGGTCCGTGCTAGCAGCTTGGTCGGCTTGACTTCCTTACACGCCGTGTGGACTGGGATCTCTCCCTTCTGTCCCCGTGTGTTGTGCAATATGTTTGTGTGCCGTTAAACAGCTGCCACGTTCCACCCCAGAGCTGGCTGCCTTTCGGTGATGCAGGAAGAGCGTCTGGGGTTTGTCTCCCTGACAGTGCCCTGGGAAGGGACTGGAGGGTTGGTAGCAGCTGCCCCACCCAGAATGCTCAGTGGAGGGGCAGAAGGGGTTACATTTTGCAGCGAGCGGTGGCGTTTGGCGGGAGTCTCTGGTGGGTCATTTAACCCCTGCGTGTCTGGCCTGTGGGTGCTTACTGGCGGAAAGGCTCCAAGCCCGTTTCTGTCATCGTCAGTGCAACAAACCTGGCCTGAGTCCCCCGTGTGAAACGCCCCAGGAGATGGGGGGCTGGGAGCCCCTCCCCCATGCCCCCAGCTGCACCCCACAAAGCCATTTCCTATCCAGCCTGGCACCCGCTCCCGGTGCAGTCACAGGCTGAGTTCACGTGTGTCCCCTCCCCCAGAGACACTTGTCCCGGGGCTCTGGGCTCAGGGTGAGGGGCTCTTGGCCCTCGGTGGGGGGTCTCGGGGGGCGCAGAGCGCCTGGCCCCAGGGCCGGGCACTTGGGGGCCGTGCAGTGGGCTCATGGGTGCAGGTTTCTCATTGAACTGGTGCCACCTGCTGGAGAAGC